AGGTGTCTCCCCCCCCCCCCCCCAAAACAGGCCCAGCCACTCACAAGGCCCCATCCCTGTGAGACAACCACTGTTGGGTTCCATGCATGTAACATCCCTGTAACAGCAACGCCCTTTTATTCCAGCAGTTTGATAAAAGTATACAGAAGCTTCTAGCAACCAGAATTGCGGTGTACCTGATGACATTTCTGATTGTAACAGTGGCCTGGGCAGCACACATAAGGTGAGAGGGTGGGCTTTCCAAGCTAAGGTTCACGTCTTTGTGACTCAGGAGGACACACGCACGAGGGAGCAGGGGCGCTGGCTGAATCTGCCATTCTTACCGTGTCAGTGGTCCCCTCGCATCATCCCAGGCCGCCCCTTCATGCCCTTGCCCCATTCTTGCTCTAAGCCTTGTGTCCTTTCTTCACAGAATGACAGGACTTACCAGCAGCCCCAGGGTCCTGGGTATGGAGCAGGGAACATGCTCACTGCAGGACAGAGAGGCAGCCACTCTTGTCTGAGATGGAGCAAAGCAGGGCAGGGGCTGCACACGCATCCTGTTAGGTCCCCGCTCTGAGTGCATGATCCCGTCTGCATCCCCATCCTGTTTGTATTTACCAGAGGGCTCATAGGCTGCCATTTTTTGGTAAGGAGGTTCAACCTGCAGGACACACACTCTCCAAGGTCTGAGCTCTGCCTTAGAAGGAAAGGCTCTGGGGTTCAGGGGAGAGGGGACTAACAAGAGGCATGGTGGTTAAGGCACTGGGTTCCCACATGGCTGGCTACAGTTCGAGTCTCGGACCTGGCAACTTGAAAATCACGCTGGGCTTGTGTTGTGTGTGCGTGTGCCTGAAATCCCAGGAGAAGAACCCGGAGGTGTTTTTTATTTGTTTGTTTTTGTTCTTTTTTTTTTTTAATAATTATTTAAATTTATTCATTTATTATTTTTTAATTTGACCAGAGAGGGACAGAGCAAGAGAGAGAAAGTGAGAAAGCAAGCCACCAGGTCCATGAATTGAACCACGGTCGGCCTTGTGGGAGTCCAGCGCCCTTAACCACCACGCCACCTACTGGACTCTAGGGGGTGGTTTTTCACTTTCCCTCTCACTGTCTCTCCAGGAGCACACACACCCTATGGCTAAAACCTAAGAGAAAAAAATCCAAAGATTCAAGGCCAGCAGCTGGTGTGGAGGTTAAGGTGGCTGGATCTCACATGGCCAACTTTGCAGTTTGAGTCCCAGACCTGGTGGCTTCAAAATCACCCAGAGTGTATGTACATACAACCCTAGAGCAGAATAGAGAAGGGATTGCAACGTGGCCATCCTCCCTGGGGGAGGTGATTTCACACTTTCCCTCCCTTTCTGTCTCTGGTCAATGCATGTACTATATAGAAAACTTTTAAAAAGAAGAAAAAAAAGGATTCAAGGGGAACAAGGCCCTATACTACCCTGCCCTGGACAGGCAGGAATAGGAGGACATACCAAGAGAGTCTTGGCAGTGTGGACATCGAGGTCATCAGCTGCAAGACTTAGAAAGGAAATGCTCTCTGGATGTGCAGGATGATCCGTGAATCCTGTCACTCATTTCTACTTGCATTAGAGATATGACTTAATGTTTACACTGCATGCTTGTTTTCAACAAACGAGACTTTCTGGTGGTGACAGATGATTTTTCTTTCAAGACTAAGGGAAAACTTTTCTCTTTGGCCTCAGGCTGGTAAGAGCTGGAGAGGCCACTGACTTCTTTGGGCCTCCAATATAGAGAGAGACATCACCCTTCATTGCATTGTGCGTCCATTCATCATAACATCCCTCTGCTGTGGAGTACACAATGGAGTGGAGCTCGTGCAGCTTGGGGAAGCCTGTCGGGCTTCACAGATCTGCCTTGCTTTGGTTGGGAACCTTCACACCCATGCACATTGTCCCAGTGCTTAGCAGATTGCCAGGGGAGCTGCCATGTCCAGCTTGCTTCCTTTGTGGCTTTTTAGCCAAGTGTGCAGCCTGAGCAAGCCTCTTGTCCCATCCCTCACACCAGTCTAGATGCAGGGCTCATAGGTCAGGAGACTACGATGAAGGTCTCACCTTCTGAGTTGACAGGTAGTATGGAGCTCCCTTTACCCTGGGCAGGGGTGGTCAGATTCCTAGTGGAATACCCCAGGGGAGGGGCTAAGTGAGGGGGTGGAGCCAGCTCAGCATCCTGCTGCTGAAAGCAACTCCATTTTTAGTTGTCAGTTTACATCTTACTGTCTCCTGCATTAGAGTAAAATTCTCTCTGTTAAACAAGTAGTTTCGGGAACCAGCAGTTAGCGTAATGGTTATGTTGCTGGACTCCCACGTAGTCGACCGCGGTTCGTGTCCTGGACCCAGTGGCTTAAAACTCACACCGGGCGCGTGTGCATGCGTGCCCAAGATCCCGAGAGGAGAATGGAGGAGAAGGGATTGCGGCGTGACCATCCCCTCTGGGGGGTGATTTCTCGCTTTCTATCTCTGTCTCTCTGCCTGTCTGGCAAGCGCACGCGCCCTATAGCAAAACCCTCTTCAAAAAAAAACTAGTTTCAATGGGTTTAGTATGTGAGGTCCCTGAGAAAGTAGTGGGAAAGAGGATTTCCTTTTTTCATAATGGTTTTTGGACAGAAGACCTGAAGAGCGAACTTATTGCATGATGGACTCTGCCTCCACCAAGGGTTGTTTCTGGCCTCCAGAGAGGCAGCCTATTCTTCGAGAGCTGGTTGGGTTTTGTGTTTGTTTTGTTCGTTTTGTTTTGTTTTGCCATAGGGCACATGTGCTTGCCAGAAAGAGGGAGAGAGAAGGAAAATGAGAAGTCACCCCTCCTGGGGGGGTGGCCGTGCCACAATCCTTTCTCCCCATCTCTTCTCAGGATCTTGGGCACGTGTGCACAGGTCGTGATTTTCGAGCTGTTGAGTCCAGGACTTGAACCACAGTCAGCCATGTGGGAATCCAGCGCCTTCACTTCCACTCCACCTGCTGGACCCCAGAGAGCTGTTTCTAGGGCTCCTAGCATGGGGGCCCAGCCTCTGTGCCCAGGCAGTTCACAGCTTCCTGAGGCGCCCCTCTCCCTCTGGCCCTACCTTCTCAGTCCAGCCTTCCCTAGTAGCTCAGTGCCAGCCCTCGGAATTACTCAGATCTTGTAGAGACAGGAACAGCCCCTCAGCTCCTCCTGTTAGGTCTCCAGAAAGCGAACTTGGAAAAAGCTTTTTACAGATGTGCCAGGTGTGCCCACTTGTTTCTACAAATTGATTCTGACAGTTGAAGCAACTTGCTTTAAATCAGGAGAAAAATGACAGGAGAGCACGTGGTATTGAGCAGGGTGCTTCTAGGGAACTTGGATTTTCCAAACTGTGTACTAGGTACTATTTTATATGTAGTTAAAAACGATGTCTTTTGGTGCCAGCAGATGGCATAGCAGTTAAATCCCTGAATTCACACACGACTGACCACAGTTTGAATCCCATGCCCAGTGCCTTGAAACTCATGCCAGGTGTATGTGTATCCGTGCCCAAGATCCTGGGAGGAGTATGGAAGAGAAGGGATTGTGGCATGGCCATCTCCCCTCGGGGGTGATTTCTCACCTTCTCTCTCATTGTCTGTGTCTCTCTCTGGTGATCACATACTCTAAGGCCAAAAAAAAAAAAAAACTCAGAAAAGGTCTTGAGGGCCAGCTCCTTGGCGCAGTGGTAATGTATTGCTCATGGGAAGCTAGATCCCACATGGCAACCAGGGTTCAAATCCCTGGCCTGGTTGGCCTTGAGACACTTTGACACATAAAAGTGCCCAAGATCAGGACCAGCAGGTGGCATGGAAATTAAGGCATTAGATCCCACATAGCTGACTGCAGTTCAAGTTCCAGATCCCGTGGCTTGAAAGTCATGCCATGCATGTGTGTGCATGTATGTCCCCAAAACCCCAAGAGGAGAATGGAGGAAAAAGGATTATGGCATAGCCATCCATCTTGGGGGGGGTGGTTTTCTCACTTGTGTGTCTGTCTGTCTCTCTCCAGTGAGTAGTACATAGCAAAAAACTTAATTTTTAAAAAAAGCCCAAGAAGGGGATCATGCTATGATCAGACCCTATAGAGGACTCTTCCCACCCATAGACACACAAACACACACACGTGCATGTGTCCTTATCATGAATAAAGAAAAAAAGTTGGGGTTTTTTTGGTTTTTTGAGGGCTTTTTGCTATAGGGTGCGTGCGCTCGCCAGAAAGAGAGAGAAAAGGCAAGAAATCACCCCCCCTCAGGGGGCATGGCCACACCACAATCCCTTGGAATCTTGGGCACGCATGCACACACAGGCCAGGCATGAGTTTAAGTCACCAGGTCCAAGACCCACGTCGTGGTCGACTACATGGGAGTCCAGCAACGTAGCCATTACGCTAACTGCTGGTCCCAAGAAAAAAGATATTTTAAAGATATCTTTTTTTCTTTTTTTGAAGAGGTTTTTGCTATAGAGCACGTGTGCTCGCCAGAGAGACAGAGAGACTGAAAGCGAGAAGTCACTCCCCAGGGGGGATGACCATGCCGCAGTCCCTTCTCCATTCTCCTCTCGGGATCTTGGGCACGCACATACATGTGCCCAGCGTGAGTTTAAGCTGCCTGGTCCAGGACTTGAACCACGGTCAACTACATGAGAGTCCAGCGACGTATCCATTACGGCAACTTCTGGTCCCTAAAGATATCTTTTAATGATGTTTTAACCAGGAAATACTAGAGAAAATGTGTTTCAATTTTATTAGAATCACATTTTACTGAAGGCCTGTTTTTCTGTTTTTTTTCTGTTGTTGTTTTTTTTTAATTGTTTAGGTTGTTCCAGGTTGTTGGGAAAATAGATGATACACTTGCCTTGCTGAACCTGGTAAGTTTTTCCTGTCTTTTTTTTCTTTTTAATGATTTTAATTTGTAATGTAGCACGCACACAAGGAGTGAAAGGGAGCAGTTAACTTCTCTTTTATCTTCTGTGGTTCCTTAGAACCTGGTATTTGTCCATACTTGGAATCTTTTCCTATCCCCTGGCCGTGCAAGCCCTGACAAACCTTCCAGTGTGGGGTCATAGGGGCCTGCACCTGCCTGTGAGAAGGAGGCTCTGATAAGGTGCACTCCCCCTCCCCCATCTGTCCAGGGCAAGGACTCAGGCTTCTGCAGCATCTGGGAATTGGGCCGGGCCATCCGCCTTTGGCAGCAGGGGGTCATGGTGGCTACAGTTTGTTGAGCAATCCTGGAGCGGCCTCCTTCCTTCCCTCCCCAGGGTGCATCCTGACCATGGCTTCCCCCTCCCCTCTAGGCCTGCATGATGACCATCACCTTCCTGCCGTACACAGTGAGTACAGCCGTTTCCTCCAGTGCTCCCCTAAGCTTTATTGAGCATCATCCAGAGTGTGGCTTGTCCTTAGAAATTCTCAGACCCACTGGGTGGTTCAGGGCCTGAGCCACTGGGATGCAAAGAGGAGACAAGGTTCTGGGGAAAACCCAGCAGCTGGGATTGCCTGGAGCTTACAGATTTGGGGGGGGAGGTCCCTGGAGCCCCAGAAGGACACACACAGGCAGATGCCACAGATGAGGGGTGCCATTGACACTCCCAGTTCTTGCCTGGTCCCTGTCCAGCCTCCTGCACAACTCAAACCTGTCCCAGTATATGGCCCCCACACACCTCACCCAGCTGCTTCCCAAAACCTTGCCCTCTTGTTGTGCTGCTGCCAGGTGCTTCACAGTGTTAGCACGCTGAATTCTGGTAGAAACGCTGGTCTGAGCTTGCAGGGCTGTCATGAGAAGTGGGATCTGGGGAATTCGTCTGAATTTAATGACATTTTGGCTTTTTTTTTTTTTTTTTTTGGAGAGGTTTTTGCTATAGGGCATGTGCACTGCCAGGTAGACAGAAAACAAGAAATCACCCACCCAAGGGGGATGGTTACACCACAATCCCTTCTCCTTAATTCTCCTCTTGGGATCTTGGGTACACACGCTCACGCGCCCGGCATGAGTTTAAGCCACCAGGTCCAGGATTCGAACTGCAGTCAACTGCATGGGAGTCCAGCAGCGTAGCCATTACTCTAACTGCTGGTCCCACATTTTGGCTTTAAAGGCATAAATAATTTGATGATACTGGCTCCTTGGCAGTAGGACATACTGTGCACAGACCTGTCCTCCAGTTTCAGGCCCTGGAAGCCCTGCTAACCTTTGGGCTTCTTTGTTGTTTTGTTTGGACATAGTTTTCCTTAATGGTGACCTTCCCTGATGTGCCTCTGGGAATCTTCTTGTTCTGTGTGTGTGTCATCGCAATTGGAGCTGTACAGGTAAGGCCTGCAGAGAGAGAGAGAGAGAGAGAGAGAGAGAGAGAGAGAGAGTGTGTGTGTGTGTGTGTGTGTGTGTGTGTATGTATGTGTGAGAGAGAGAGAGAGAGAGAGAGAGAAAGGGAGGGAGGGAACAAGAGAGCCATTGGCGTGAAGGTGGAATCCTGGGATCCTGCTCCCCTACATTCCAAGAAACTCAGGTCTTGCCCACACACAAGATGTGGGGCACCCAGGGCCCCCCTGCTTGCTGGGACTGGGAAGGGTAGACTCTGAGATTGCCACGTGTCTCCCCAGGAGCAGGGCAGGGGCTCCCTTCCCCCTCAGCCTTTACCTACAGAATGTACAAGTATAAGTCTAGCTCTACGGTTTCCCCATAAGATTCCTGCCCAGGTGCATATTGGGTAGCCAAGGGCCCCCTGACCAGGGTGCCCCCTCTGCTCATGTGACCAATGCCCTGCAGCTTGTCTCTCCCACAGGCGCTGATTGTGGGGTATGCGTTCCACTTCCCGCACCTGCTGAGTCCACAGATCCAGGGCGCTGCCCACAGGGCCTTGTGCCGGGAGCACGTGCTGGGCATTGTGCTCCGGGGCCCAGCCCTGTGCTTCGCTGCAGCCATCTTCTCGCTCTTCTTCTTCCCTGTGGTGAGTGATGGGGCGGTCGCCTAAAGTCCAGGCACAGGTGGGGGGCCACCAGCAGTGGAGGATAGGGTGGGGCAACATGGTGGGCAAAGGTCCTGCTAAGAGTCTTCTGTGGGACCTGTGGCTAGGAGAAGCCAGGTGTCCAGGGTGTCAGGGAATGAGGCAGGTCGCTGCTGCTGCTGCTACTCATCTGAGACCCCAAGGACCTAGCCTGCTGAGGACTAAGATGACAATATGAGAAACCAAAGATGACGGGAGTCCAGGGTTATGGCCTGATGTACTTTCTTTTTAATAAATCTGCCCAAATATGGGGGTAGGGAGGGCTGTGTACACCAAACAGCTGTTTAGATGGAGGGGCCAAAGCAGTATTGCCTTGATGATGGGGAGCCCCTGCCAATAAACTCGGGCATCAGCAGACCAACTATGCCCATCCTAAAAATGTGCTTGGAGAATGTGCACCGGGACAGAGGGAGAGAGCAAAGAAGACAGGAAACGGTGTTGGACACAGGCCCATGAGACTGAGTGCTGAGTGCTGCACCTCTCAGACTGGGAGCACTCAGGTGAGGGAGAATGAAAGTAACAGGCCATCTTAGCCCAGTCCCCAGGTGAATCTCTGCTGACACTCTTAAGAGTTTTGTTTTGTTTTTGAGAGAGATTTTTCCTATAGGGGGCGTACACTTGCCGGAGAGAGAGAGAGAAGGCGAGAAATCACCCTCCATGGGGGATGGCCACGCTGCAATCCTTTCTCTCAGTATCTTGGGCATTGCATGCACACACATGCACCCAGTGTGAGTTTTAAGCTGCCAGGTCCAAGGCTCAAACCATCGTTGACTATGTGAGAATCTAGTGACGTAACCATTGCACCATCTGCTGTTCCCAAGAATTTTGTTGTTGTTTTTAAATAAAAATTATTTTTTAATTGCCAGAGGGCAGTTGTCACCAGAGAGAGAGAGAGAGAGAGAGAACCTCTCAGTGGGTCATAATGATGCTGCAGTCCTTTTTTCCCCTATTCCTCCTTCCCGTCAGGATTTTGGGCACACCATGCACTCACTCCTGGCATGTTTCTTAAGCCATAAGGGCCAAAATTTAAACTGTATTTGGCCATGTGGGGCCTAGTGCCCATGCACAGTGCTTACCCACTGTTCTACAAGGGCAGCCCCCAACACCCTTAACTTCAGTGGGAGTAAGAGTATTATACTAGGGGCCAGCCCTGTGGCCTGGTGGTTAAGGGAGCCAGATCCCACATGGCCATTGCACAGTTCAAATTCTAGACCCAGTGGCTGGAGAAACACACCAGACATGGGTGCATGTGCTTCTGTGCATGCCCAGAATCCCAACACAGTGAAGAAATAGAGGAGAGGGGCTTGCAGCATGACCATGCACCATGGGATATGCCTTTTCCTTCTTTCCTCTCTGTCTTTCTCTGGAAAGCTCATGTGCCCTCTGGTAGATTTTTTTAAAGTACTTCCTAGTCATGCCTCCATCATCCAGGAGTAAGGAACCCAAAGGAAATTATCACAGATTGAGTCGAACATCATTGAAGGAAGGTGTATTGTTAAACCTAGAGCATTGTAGGGCCAGCCCTGGAGCCTATTGGTTAAGGGAGCTGCATCCCACATGGCCAATACAGTTCAAATCCTGACCTGAGAAGCTTGAAAAACATGTTGGGCATGTGTACATACATGTTTGCCCAAAATCCGGACAGAATGGAGAAATGTAAGAGAAGGGATTGCAGCATGACCATACTTTATTGGGAAGTGATTTTTTCCTCTCCTTCTCCCTCTCGTTCTCTGTCTCTGGAGAGCGTATATACCCTCTGGCAATTTTTTAAAAAAAAATCCAGATCATTGTAAAAATTTTGAAAAAAAAAAAAAAGTGGTTATTTCAAATGTCTACTAAACAAATTTCAAGAATTCCAACTTTTGGGGACCATTAGCGTAATGGCTATGTCGCTGGACTCCCATGTAGTTGACCGCGGTTCGCATCCCGGATCTGGTGGCTTAAACTCACACCGGGCTCGTGTGCGTGCGTGCCCAAGATCCCGAGAGGAGAATGGAGGAGAAGGGATTGCGGCGTGACCATCCCCCCTGGGGGGTGATTTCTCACTTTCTGTCTCTCTGTCTCTGTCTGTCTGGCGAGCGCACATGCCCTGTAGCGAAAACCTCTCCCGAAAAAAAAAAAAAGAATTCCAACTTTTTAAAATTTTGCCCCAGGGCCTTGTGTGCTTGCCACAGAGAGACAGAGAAAGAGGGAAAGTGAGAAATCACACCCCCCCAGGTGGGATGGCCATGCTCTAATCCTTTCTCCACCATGAAGCATGGCTAGCAAGGTGGACAGGAGTAAGGGGTCGAGGCGTTGGTACACCCAGGGTGGCTGCAGTGGCAGGAATCGATCCAGAGACAGCAAAACCAAGGTGGGAAGTGATAGTCATCATCCGGCGGGTGGGATAGGCCATGCCTTGCTGGCGTGGCCTAGACAATCAGGTGGACCATAAAGGGTTTATACGGCGGGGACACACTGGGGCTGCCAGTAGGGCTGGCCGAGAGGGATCATGAGCAGGTACTGATGTGTTGGGGATCTTTAAGGAACACACACCTGGCACAAGGCTGGCAAGAGGACAAGGGATTAGGAAAGGGGCACCTGAGCTGACAGAAGAGAAGGTTCTAGGACCTCAGAGGGAGAACTTACCCAGCCCACAGCAACCACTTTACCTTTGACTGTGGCTCCGGTCAGCCCTTGGTCTGTCTCCTCTCAGCCATCAATGTCATTTCTTTACTGCACCTTTCACAGGCTAAGAGGCCCTTGGATTTTGCTCTGCCTTCTTTGTTCCTTCCTTCCTGCTGGTGTCCATCCTTCCCCAACTCCTTCCCCCTCCTCCACACTGCGGGCCCCCATTTAGATTCCTCCTGCAATCTCCTGGGATTCAGCCTCCCTCTTGCCTTGTCTTGTTTCCTGCTTTTCCGTCACTCTAACACCCTCTGCTACGACACTTATTCTCAGCCTCCTGCTAAGAGCTTCTACTCATACTTGCCTTGAGTGTGATATGGTTGCTTGAAGCCTGGAAAACTCAATATTAAACACACCTGTGGATTTACATTATTTGTACAGTATTCTTGCCCACTTTGGATGAACTTAAAGTGCTTACATTAAGAGACAGGGTGGAAACCCTTCATTAAGGGCTAAGGTCATGTAATGTGGAGGGCAGTAATGACACGTGTAGGAAACATTGCCCAGGACACAGCTTCGTGGCCAGACCTCAGGATGTGTATACATGCAGGCCACGTGGGCAGAGAACAGTGATGGGGCTGCTGCGATTGTTAACTGAACCAGGCTGGTGTGGTGCTGAGGTGTACCCAGAGCAGTCCTGCAGAGTAGCCATCAGCACCAGGAAACTGGCCTGGCAAGTTTCCCCACCTCCCTTTTTCTTAATTTAGCGAGATACACATAATAGAAGACTCACCATCGTAACCATTTTAAATTGATCAGTTCATTGGCATTTAGTTCACTCATGACGTCGTGCAAACATCACCTCTCTCAAGTTCCAGAATGATTTTCTTGTCTCAAATGGAAACCCAGTATCTATTTTTATTTTTTATTTTTTGGAGAGGTTTTTGCTATAGGGCGTGTGCGCTCGCCAGAAAGAGACAGAAAGCAAGAACAGTCCCTCCTCCACTCTCCTCTCAGGACCTGAGGCATGCACACATGCACACGCGCCTGCCATGAGTTTAAGCCACTGGGTCCAGGACTCAAACCACGGTCAACTACATGGGAGTCCAGTGACATAGCCATTACGTCAACTGCTGGTCCTTCCACCTTTTGGCTATTAGGAATAATGCTGCTGCAAACATCAATATACAGATTTCTCTTCAAGTCTATGTTTTCAGTTATTTTGTATATGTACACAGAAGTAGAATTGCTAAATATTAGGATAATTAATTCTGTGTTTAATTTTTTGAGAAACTGCCATACTGTTTTCCACAGTGCCTGCACCACTTAAATTCCTACCAAAAGTGCTCAAGGGTTCCCAATTCTTCACTTCTTTCATAAACAGTTGCTGTTCTCTTTCTGATTCCAGCCATCATAGTGAATGTGAAGTGGTATCTTGTGGTTTTTATTTGCATTTCCCTAATGACCAGTGGTACTGAGTATCTTTTCCTGACTTGTTGGCCGTTTCCATATTTTCTTTGGAGAAATACCAAGTTATTTGCCCATTTTTAAATTGAGTTGTTTGTCTTTTTGTTAAGTTGTAAGAGCTCTTTTTATATTAGTTCTGTATATTAAACTGTTATCAGATACATAATTTGCCAAGAGTTTTCTCCCATTCTATGGGGTGCCCTTTAACTCTCAAGAATGTCCTTTGATGCACAAGTCTATCCAGTTTTTTCTTATGTGGTTTGTGTTTTCCCTCTCTTTGGAGTAGACCATTTTAGGGTGGGGTTTCTGACTGGCTCCCTGGTCTCTGGGTGACATGAGGTCTAATCTGCACCATGAAAGCAGACACTAACCTGTCGTATCTCCCTGCAGTCATACCTGTTGATGGCGATGGTTATCTTCCTTCCGTATGTCAGCAAGGCTGCCGGCTGGTGCAGAAACAGGCTTCTTGTGGGTAGGTGACCACTGGATGAGTTGATGTGAGAGGCTGACAGGCTGCTGTCCTCCCTGTGGCAACTCGGCACTGAGGCCACTAGAGATACCACCCAGGTCTCAGCTGCTTCTAAGGACTATCAGGTGGAGGCAAGGCTCAAGCACATGGTGACAACTTGGTCTTAACCGGTTTGGCCCCTGCTCCAGTTCTGAGCATGGTTGGCCATGGGTAGGCCCTGCCACCCTTCAGAATGTCCCTTCACCATGTTCCTTCCTAGCCCATATGTCCCCAACCCCTTTGGGGAAGAGGTCAGTGATGGCCATGTTGGCTCTCTGGGCTCAGGCAGCTCCTTCCTCCAAACATCCACAGGCCGTGGGGAGCCCCCAGCCCCCAGCATGGAGTTCTTCACTTTTGACCTCCATGAGCCACTCAGCAAGGAGCGGGTAGAAGCCTTCAGCGACGGCGTCTATGCCATTGTGGCCACTCTCCTCATTCTGGACATCTGGTGAGGACACTGCCTGGCTGCCAGGCAACAGGTCTGTCCCTGAGTCCTTGGTGTCACGTTCTAGAGACTCCAGAAAGGAGCTAGAGTCCCACCCTCCTCTCAGATGCCCAGAGAACAGCCACTACCCCCAAAGAGAGCAGAGCTCCCAGAAAACAGGGATCTCCCATCCCAGCAGCCTCCAACCTGAGGAATGGGGGTGGGACACTTGGGAAAGAACTACACCAGCCACTGCAGCCTCTCGAGCACAGCCTCTCCCCCGTCATCACACAGCTGTGCTCAGCAGTGGCAGTGTGGTTCCCCAGCTTTCCCCACACACATCAGGCCTGTTTCTTCCTTCACTGCTCTTCTACTCAGCCTGATCTACCACTTAAGAGGGTTTAAGTTCTCCTCTTAATTTTCATTTCTAAGTATTTTATTTGCTTTTTCAAATCTTCTATCATTGTTAATCATCTCATTGTTTAGTCATAGTTTAGGACACTTGTTAAATATTAAAACACTGGTTTTAGGCCAGCCCTGTGGCCTGGTGGCTGAGAGAGCCAGATCCCACATGGCTAACCAAGCAGTTAGAATCCTAGCCCTGGCGGTTTAAAAGACAATGCCAGGTTATATGCATGCATGCCCCAAATCCTGAAGGGATAGAGAAATGGAGAAAGGATTATGGTGTCACCTTTTCACTTTCTCTGGTGAGCATATAAACCCTTTGGCAAACAGAAGGGTAGGGACACCATTTTGGTTTTATCTTCTGTGTCTGACAGTTTAAAGTCTAATTCTCCTGAGATTCTCTTGGTAGCTTTTTCCTACTATAATTTGTGGATTTTTAGAAATAGAAAGCAAATATTTATTGATGCCTGATGTCTAAGGCCTAGCTTTAAGGAGCATTCCAGAATGATCTGCCTTTGACCCTGCATTGTAGCTGGAGCCACACCAGCTCAGACCCCCTTCCTGGAGCCCAGATGGTATTCTCTCCTCGACCCAGAGCCATGACCAAGGGAACAGCCAGCTGCCCTCTTTGCAGGCTTCTTGCATATGCTAAGATGCTGCCTCGAGTTCTTACCCCTATGTGACCTCCCCAGGCTCCGGGAGGTCTCCTGCCCACCGTTTTCAGGACAGATGTCCTGTATTTCTAGTTGATGAAAAAAGATGCCATTCCTGGCTTTTCTAGGTCGTGCTTTTAGAAGGCAGCAGACTTGACTAGAGTGGTTCAAACCACCTCCTCCACTGCAGGAAAGAAGCCCAGAGATGCCAGAGCCATAGGTGACTGGTGGATGCTCCTTAGAAAGTTCAGCCCAGGAGTCAGCATTCTGAGCATCCCTGTGTGAATCAGAGCCTCCCTCACGTCTCTCATCCCTCCTCTCATGCTGTCTGGCAACCAGGGTGTGCATGTGTGTGTGTGTGTGTGTGGCGGGGGACAGGGAGCAGCTCACGGACCCCACACACATAGGGCTGGCTGTGGCGGGCAGGTGTGAGCAAACCACACTGACTTCAGCCTTGGTGGGCCAGGCTCAGGGCCAGGACTGCTCACCAGCCCAGGGGGTGTGGGGGGACCACAGGATAGGGCTGCCCCTTGGGCACAACATCAGAAACCAGTTCAACTATAGTTTCAGGTGAATGATGGGTAATTGTTTAATGTACTAAATATGCGTACTAAAAATCTTTGTCATTCCCCTGAAATTCACATGTGCCCGGAGCCAGGCAGCCTTGAATACTTAACCCAGCCTGCCAGGCCTGTGTGGGCCTTGGTGAGCTGGTACAAATACCATCTGTTCATAATTCTCAGTGAGGACAACGTTCCGAATCCCAAGGATGTGAAGGAGAGGTTCCACGGTAGCCTGGTGGCAGCGCTGCGTGCATACGGGCCACAGTTCCTGGCTTACTTCGGCTCCTTTGCCACAGTGGGCCTGCTCTGGTTCTCCCACCACTCACTGTTTCTGCATGTTCGCAAGGCCACACAGTCCATGGGGCTGCTCAACACGCTCTCATTGGCCTTTGTGGGTGGCCTCCCGCTGGCCTACCAGCAGACCTCGGCCTTTGCTCGGCAGCCCCACGACGAGCTCGAGCGTGTGCGGGTCAGCTGCGCCATCATCTTCTTTGCCAGCATCTTCCAGTTTGCCATCTGGACCACAGCCCTGCTGCACGAGGCAGAGACGCTGCAGCCTTCAGTGCGTTTCGGCGGCAGGGAGCACGCGTTCATGTTCGCCAAGCTGGCCCTGTACCCATGCGCAAGCCTGATGGCCTTCGCCTCCACCTGCTTCCTGAGCAGGTTCAGCACAGCCATTTTCCACCTCATGCAGATTGCGGTGCCCTTCGCCTTCCTGCTGCTGCGCCTCCTCGTGCGCCTTGCCCTGGCAGGCCTGCGGGGCCTGCGAGGCCTCTCCCAGCGTGAGCACCCCTTGCTGGGCCATGCAGGTGAGGCCGATTCACAGTCGCTGCTCCTGCCTGCACCCTGCTAGCATCCAGGGTTGGAGGACTTGGGCCAAGGAGGCCATCCCACCCACCCTAGCCTGAGGCTAACGAGAAGGGAACGACAGGCCAGCAGCAGTTTACGTGATGGCCCAGGGCTGCAGGTTTATGAGGCTTGGGTTTTATTTTCCTTGTGAAAACATGTTCTGTTTCAGAGTCCTCAGATTGTCCTCTACTTTTTGCAGGAAGTAGTTCACAGGAACTTTTACTGGATTTACCCATCTATCGTACTTTCCTCAGTAGACACATTGCCATTAAGATTACTCATCTAGGCTCGGCCTGGTGATGCAGCCAATGGCAAATAGCTGTGGTGCTGGGAACCACATGGCTGATGGTAGGCTCAGATCCCTGAGTTGGCCTGAAAACACTCCAGGTGCACAAGCGTGCCCAAGAACCGGTGAGCTAGAGGGCTGGGGAAAGGGACTGCCGCTTGACAAGACCCTGCCAAGGGCGCTTCTCTCTCTGTCTCCCTCTCATGCATGCATATATGCTCAACCATGAATAAATAAACTAAAAATTACTTGTCTAACCTAAAACAAGCCATGCTTGGGGGCTGGCATTCAGATGTGTTTTGGGGAGCTGGGATTCAGCCAGTAGCCCAGAGCCCTCCACTGGTCCTGTACTGAAGCCTTATTGAAGGAGCCCTGCTCTGCTTGGAGCCCTAGGAAGGTTGCTCCTTGATGAGTAGCCCACCCTTTTCCTCTCCGGTCCTTAGAGTCAACTGGGTCAGGGGAAGTCGACCCATCTGAGGGGCTGCCTACTCCTGACCCACCCTCCCTGGATGCAGAGAGCTACCCTGGTGAGGCTGACACACACCCTGCCCCCCCCCACACACACACACAGTTGTCTGACAAAGATGAGGGACAGAGAGCAGTAGGACATGATGGCGAGACTGTATTTGTCATGAATATAAATTAGGTTACATTCTGGTAGCGATAAATTACACATGAGGGGACCAGTGGACAAGGGACACAGACCCCATCTGGGCAGACAGACTCACTTAAATACATGAGGACGAGTCCTCCTAACCACAATTTACAGATAATTCCTACAGGTTGAAATCAACACCAGGGCTTACAAAGCAAAAATTAATTACACCATTGAGGGCTTGATTTGGAGATTACAAATGATGTAAACATGAGGCATTGTATACTGGAGGCCACAAATGGCCATCATGATGCATTTGTGCAGTTTTGGCAAAAGCAGGGTAAGGGGAGGTGTTGGGAGACCCAACTAAGGCCCTCTGGAGACCACAGGCTGGGTGAGGCACACACTCCTGGGTCCAGACCCAGTGAGATCTGGCCTGGATGTACCCCACAGCAGCACAAACCCCAGCCAGTGAGCAGCTAAGAAAGGCCTGGACTTGTAGGATCCCTCTCTTTGGGGTGGTCCTCAGGAGAGGTCAGAGTCCTCCTGGGGTCTGAGGCACGACAGTGCATCTGAACTCTGGCACATGGAAGAAACCGCTCACTCCAACCAGGCCATATGTCAGGGCACAGCCCACCAGCAGCAGCATCCAGACTCTCCGGGGTGGGCGTGCAAGCTGGCTTGTAGAAATGGGGTCTAAGCATTAACGGGAGAGGATTGAGGGAGCCGCAGTCAGCTCAGAGACGCTGGGAACTGCGTGTTGATTGTTGGCAAACAGCATGTAAAGTGCTAAGGGCGAATTTAGGGGATTAAAGCTGCTCCTCCAGTGTTATTTACACTTTCATAAATGTCTCTGGACCACCAGTCTGTTTCTGGTCCCTTCTGGGCACTAAATTCCCTATCCCGGTAGCTGGCAGGAAGTGAGGGACAACTGCCCAGCCTCTTTGAGACCCTCCTGGCCTTAAAATGGACAGAAGTTCCTGGGACTACCAGCCCTGGCCAGTAGTATGGGACCCTAGGAAAGGGCAGCCAGGCCCCTCTGGGCACTTCCTCACCCCTGCAACTACCACTCGTGGTCCAAGCAGTGACTAGGCCAGGAAACAAGGGAAGGAACTTTCCCTCAAGACAAACAGGAGGTCAGGTGCTGCCTGGCCACACCTGCCTGGAGGAGCTGGCAGTGTGTGTGTGCTGGGCCAGGGCACAGCCAGGGCCCTCAACTCCAGCCGCTCAGAGAGCATCCAGGGGACAGCCCAAGGGCAACAAAATGAGGCCCAGAGACCCACCCAGACAGCCTGCATCCAGTGCTGCTGACCTTCAAGGGCTCAGATGTGAGAGGGGCACAAAGGGAGGGATGCCCTGGCTCCAGGAAGATCGCCTGCTTTCCACTTCTTTCTGTAACATCCCATGACTGACACCCAAGTATAGGGCCGGCTCCATGCACCCTGTGAGGCCCCGCCCCCCGCAGGGCAGAGGGCAGACCAGCCAGAGCCCAGTGCCTACCTGTCACACAGACTGGTACCAGGACAGGAGAGAAACTGGCCAGGCTGCAGGAAGACTGCAGTCAGGGCTATAGCCAAGTCCACCCGCTGGGCCCCCACTGTGCAGATTCGGGACACAGCTGAAGACATGGATGGCCAAGTGGGCAGAGACTGCTCCAAGGCCACCTTGTGGCTCCTACCCCCTCTACTTGGGATCACCCTCGGGGGCAGGCATGGCATCCACTCGGGCATCCCTGGTGGCCCCAGCCTTCCTCGGCTTCTGCTTAGCCTTTCTCAGCATGTGGACCTGTCCCAAGAGAGGCAGAGTCAGAGCCAAGGTGACACAGGATGACCGAGTGTCCCATCAGCCCCCAGTCCTGCAACTCCAGCAGAGCCAGTGCTATTTCAGCCCCACTTCACAGAAGGGGATGGACCTAGAGAAGCTGCCTGGCGGACACTGCCCACTGAGGTTCATTTTTCTCACCCAAGCATCAGAAAACACCCAGGCCATGGCAGGACATGCCAAGACTACCTGGACAGCAAGGCCACCACCAACTACTCTGCCCAACCACAGCCACCTAGGCCCAGTCATCCCTCACCTCTCTAGCCGTGCCTAACATACCTTAGGACCTGCAGCTGAGATGATGATGTGCCCTGGGGCCTGGACCCAGGGTTCGCCATCCACTTGCACAGGGGTGGCCTTGAGGAGTGTGACTCGGAAGTAAGAGCCCTGAGCGATGCGGATTCCAGAGCGCAGCCCACCCTGGACCTGGCCCTGAGCAAGAGAGAGCCAAGCTCAGTGGGGCCCAGGGGCCACCTTCTAGGCCACCAGGGGCTGCCAGCACTCACCATGTGCATGACACCAGTCACGCCCACCACCTCCAGCAGCCCATCATCCATGCGTGGCTTCTCAAACCTTGAGTCGCTGTCAGAGCCCCACAGGTCGGCCCCTGAGCCCCAGCTGCCCAAGAAGGGAGGGAGGGACACACAGGTGTAGACACAGGTACAGACAAGGCCAGAGACCGGGCAGAGCCTCCAGGGGACTCCCACCCACTCGCACCTGGGGATGTTGATGAAGATGAGGCCCTCTATGCTGGGTAGCTCCACTTCCTGCTGCTCCACCTGCAGACGGATCTCCTTGTGTAGGCTGCGTGAGTGGCTGATCTTCTGCAGCCCAACCCGCACATATACACCCTTGTTGTGGAATCTGCGGGGGGGCGGGGAGGTGTGCCTAGCATCACCAGGCAGCAGCCCTTGCCCTGCCTACAGCAGCCCCCAAGCCTTGGCCCCTCTCTGCCAGTCTTTGCTGGTGGATGCCCAGGAAGTACACCCCTCCCAGGGAGGGGGCAGTCCCTGCCCCTGCCTCTGCCTGCAGCAGTCCAGTCCCGGCCCTCCTCTTTTGTACCTGCTTGTGAACTTGCCAGGCTCTTCCTCCCGTGCCTGGTGGAAATCTAGGCTCAGCTCCGCATCAATGCCAATGCCACAGTAGTTATTCATCTGCACGATCTATGGAGAAGGGTCCTGGTTAGCACCTGGCAGACACTCCCGGGCTCCCCCAGGGTGTGTTCAGTCTCCCTGTATCTGAGCCATTCCCCCACTGCTTCCAGAACTCTGTCAGCACCCCATGAGCAGGTAGCATGCTGAGGCTCTGGTGTCAGCCAGCCCTGGGCACAATCCCCCAGCAAGTCACTGCTCTCTGCCTTAGATGGCCCACCTGCAGAGGAGATGGCACTGGCACCTATTTCAAACCAAGGCTGGGAGGAGTATGAACGCTTGGATGAATGCACACAAGAGCAGTATGGCAGAGTCTAATAGGTTCCAGACCCTCACCACAGGACCCACTGGTACCTTGGGGGGCTCCACATCTGCCACACTGTTCTCTGTACTACCAGTCTCGTGCGCATCCAGCAAGATGGTCCAGCGGTCCATGAGCACAGCATCAGCCTCATCCACAGACACCAGCACTGAGAATGGGTCCTCGCCGCTATAGCCTGCCCCCCATCGGAGGACACGGCCAAGGTCATTTCCTGGGAACAGACAAGATGCAGAATAACTCCAACCTACCCACCTAGCAGCACAGGACAAAGAGGCTACCACAGGACAAAGACATGCCACAGGACAAAGACATACCATGGGACAGATTCTACATGACAGACATGCCACAAGACAGAAATGTGCCACTGTAGGACAGAGACATTGCCATGGGACAGACATACCACCATGAGACAGACATGCCACCCCAGGCATCAAGTGAAACTTGGGGCAGGGAGAGATAAACTCTGAGTCCCCATCTACTGATTTGATGACTGACCCCACCTGTGCCCAGGGGCAGGATGGCCACAGAAGGTTCTGGACAGGCCAGACGGTGCCGCGTCTCCTCCAGGGCAGCCAGCACCCAGCCCACGGTGCCGTCCCCACCACACACCAGCACCCGGAAGCAGGGCACCTGGGAGAACAGGTGGAACCTAGCAGTGGGAGACAGGAAGCGTCTATCCCTGCCCTAGATAGCCCACCCTTTGCCATGCCATCTCTGGCTAGCCACATGGAGGACTTGAAGTTTCCAACACAGAAGCCCATCTAAATTCCTCTGGCCCACAGACAGGATGTGGGAAATGCCCCTCCCAGGGCCTGTGCAGCAGTCCCTGCCTTCCCAGGCCCTCCCACCGAGGCTGCATGTGGTATGGCTGGTCCTGGGGTCCCACCAGACTCACCCAGGAAGAGGCCCCCCGTTGGTCAGCTCAAAGACCTGGTGAGGGTTCA